GGCTTTTTTTTCGTGAATTGACCATTAGGACTTGCATGATATGTAAAACGATGAAAACGAGCTCTTGGCCTCAACTGACACAGAACAACCGTGTAGGAGGCGACTAATTACACGAGGATAGAGAGTGATATTTCGGAGCAAGCCGGCGAGCCGGAAAGTAGCAACAGTAGAACCTAATAAAAATTTGTAAACATGATAAGCACTGTAATTAACGAAAGTAACTATAAAGTGAAAGAGACGAATGTTGCCAAGGAGAAAACGAATTGCTCTGCCTGAGTCCTGGTTATTCAACCAATAGATTATTTGACCCATTCTAGCAAGGATTCTGATTGGCATATTTTAGCGTGAGTTATTAATTCAAAGTAGAAAACATGCTAACAACACCTTTCTTCGCTTTGAAAATAAAATTTGTTTTAAAAATAGACAGAAATGTGTAGGGAGTTTGACGGATTCTTTATCATACAACAGTAAAGAAGCCTTGACTGGCTCTGTTCTGTTGTAAAGCACGGAGGGAGCGGTTAAAGCACCCTTGAAGTAGGGTTCTTTCGGGCTCTAGCCGCTTACTGCGTGCTTTACAAAAGAACAGAGCATAATCAAGACTTCTTTATTTTTTAATTTTTGAGTAGTAAAGGGGCCAATTGTGTTTCGTGTTTTTTTTTTTTTTATCATGGACCTCACATTCGAGTTGTTATCACGAAACACCCCACAAGGTTAATTATCTGTCTCGTCCTTTATAAACTACGTCAATTATAACGCGAGTTTTCTTGTCTAACAACGTATTGAAAATTTATGATAACCGTGAGTTCAACAGCAAAAAAAATATAACAACTTTATTTACACTGTACAACATGGTAAAATTAGAATCAAAATTTAAATTATATAAATTATTCAATTATGTAATTAAATTATATAAATTATTAATAAAGAGGATAACAAGATAGTCACTAACCTAAGGACCTAGGGGCCCTAGCTTAACAGCTAAGCTGAAGTGGGAGGTTTACTAGCTACAATTAATCATTTGAAATATACTCAGGACCAGAAAAAAAGAGCGCTTATATGCTTATATTTTCAATTGTTCGCTAATACCTTGGCTCTACACTCAGTTAAGCACAAACTTAAGGTAGTTTCTGACAAAAAGGTATTGTGGTTATTTTGGGCACAATTGGCATTGTTACGGTGGAAGTTCCCCAGGGAAAAGTGCATGTTATCTGAGAGGAAGAATAATAACAATCGGCAAATGTCCCTACCTGCAGATCTTGCGGTGCAGTATGTAACAGTCAGTCTCCCATTTTTAGCATAAGAAATATTCTCTCCTCAGACTCCCGACCGTTATGAATTCCTTCATTACTCGTTCT